TGTGTGCTTCCCCATTAAGTGGATGTTAATTCAGACCGTCTTTTGGGCAGCAGCACATCAGCTTCCTGACTGTGACTTTTCTATAGTAATTTATCTGGATTTTCAATTTAGTGTCAAAAAGAACATTTGGGGGGGGCGTGGTCACACTTTTGGGGGATAAACAGTTTCAGAATGATCCCTGTCTAAAATCCTTAGGGATAATGATGAATCAATCTCCTAGGGAAGTTCACATTTTGGTCAGATTAGCTGTAACACTCTGAGCATCACTTGCAAAGTGATGCAGGATACAGCAGTGCCCTGATGACCTTGGTAAATGAACCCTGTCTACCAGAAATAGATAATTGAATGAGCAGATAAATGAATGAATAATGGAGACCGGGCAAAATGATTTCTAATGGATCAGCTGAAATGAGCCACTCTGGTCACACACTCTGGAAGCCTGTATGATGTAGCCTCATGGCCCCTAAAAGACAGTTTCAGCACAAGGCAAGGTTGGCAGAAAAGTCTGAATAATAAGACGGGCACCCATAAACTTTCTCAAGGAAATTTCAAGGGAGAAAAGATGGCTTATTCAGCACATGCATAGAGTCAGCTGCTCCTCTCATCAAAATCATTTATGTGTATTTAAAGTAAGATTGGTTCTACTACCAAATCCTGGGGAATCCAAAAAAACATATCTGTTTTCTATCTTTACACAAACAACTCTAGCCATGACCACAGAGCCCCCTCATCCAACATGGAAAAAGAGGAGGCTACTGGGTCTTGCCTGGCCTCCTCGCTTTTTCAAACCTTCTCGAAGAAATGAGAATTCTGCTCGGCCTGCTGCTAGAGCAGCTGCATTCAACCAATGCCTGGCCTCAGTCAGGGCTCAGTGAACATGCCCTGGACTCCCCACTGCCCTGGCCTGGGGCCCTGCACACAGCAGGTGAGACCATGGGTGTGGGCATGGTGATGGTCAGAGGAGGCCGAGGACATAATTTATCATGTGTTGAATTAATGACTAAAGAGAAATCAATTATTTTTGCCAGTAATTAAGACTGCCATTTCCTCACTGTCATGGAACCTGAATCCTAGTTCTGCTACTTAGAACCTTTGCCAGTCTGGGTCACTTACCTTTCCCAGGCCTCAGTTTCTTCATCTATCAAATGGGACTTCAACTGCCAGCCTTGTGTATCTCATCAAATGATGCAGAGACAGTACAGGTGAAACCCCCTGGGGAATGTCTTTTGCAGCCCCCTTCCTGTCTGGTTCACTCGCCCAGTCTGCCCCTCACACTCTGGAGTCTTTCTTACAAGTAGGAGTTGTCGAGTGTCCATCTGCTCTGGCAGCTAACAGTGCCACAAGCTGGGGGTCGGGAACAATAATTTCGCCTTGACATTCCTTTGAAAATTCTAGGCAATGTCACCTGGTCCTGGAGATTTACCCATATGCTTGTGCTTATGTCCTCAGTGGCTAACTCGTGGCTGACTCTTTGTGACCCCATGGACTGTAGCCCACCAGGCTCGTATGTCCATGTCATTTCCCAGGCAAGAACACTGGAGTGGGTTGCCATTTCCTCCTCTAGGGGATCTTCCCAACCCAGGGATCGAACCTGCATCTCCCTCGTCTCCTGCATCGGCAGGTGATTCTTTACCACTGAGCCATCAAGGATTACTTGTCTTAGGTTGGCTCTAAAAGACGCTGCCATGTGATCCCATGTTCAACATCCCTGTGAGCATCACAGGAACTCCCCAATCCCCATCCCTCAACTCTCCAGAGGCTGTGCTGAGGCTGAGTCAGGTGAGGGGAAGCCATTGGCATTTCAGACAGGGTTACAGGGCTAGTACTGGGGCTGAGCTGCAAATAGGAAATGAGGTCAGAACACAGAAGAGCAGAATCAAGTTGCTCACAGCTGGGAGAAATTAGGTTTGGGAATGAGGACGGCCAGGGTCAAGAAGGGACGCGTCCGCTGGAGCCCTGATGGGTAGAGAAGCTTACAGTCTGAGGGTGGCCAGGCGGCTCCCCAGTGGCCTGCACTGGGGGCATGTCCCCTCCTTGTTTTCCCAGAAGTGATGCTTTCCTGGGAGCTCCTTAGCATCTCCTCGGAAAGCTGGCCATGCCCACCTAAGGGGAGATTCCCCCGCAAATCCCCCTTTCCATTCTGAAATCCCTTTCCTCCTGACCTCCCACTTTCTCTTATCAGCGAACCCCACCTGTTCTTGATCCCCCTCTGTCCACCTAAGGCTCCACCCACCGGTGAGGTTCCACCCACCACTCATCTCACTGGAATTTGCAGCCTCGCCCATTGTCTAAGCCTATCAGGACCACTGACCTTGAAAAGCCTCTCCTACTTCCTCAAGCTACTTCCCCTCTGAATCCCCACAGTCCTCTGCTAGTTTTTAGGGGCCTGGTAACCTGTTTCATGTTATGAAGATTTGTACATGTCTTATCTTGCTTATTACCCTGCAAACCTCCCGAGGACAGAGACTGTCTATCTTATTTATGCAGCACCTGCAGTTCCGAGCATAATATCTTACCAGTGGGGCCAATAAATATTTACCCTGTTAAATTTTACGATAGTCTGATTTCTAAGAATGAGTACTCGTATTTCCCCCTATCTTTTTCCTCATTACAAAATGCAGTCACATTAATGTGGTCACATTACACAAAGGTTTCTTTATAAATAAAATAGCTACTGGTTTCTGTTTTATCCTCCACAGGCTCCAGTACCCTCTCCTGCCTTCCTGGGTTCTCAAACATTTCTTCAAGGCAACAGTTATTTGATCCCTCTGGAAAACACTATTTTCTCATTCTGTGAGCTTCCCATCACACCTGTGGACAGCTGACAACTTTCTCGGTTTCGCTCTGGCCTCCAACTGCAGCCTCCCATGTTTGACGGAATGTCTCTGGTGCATCTTGTTAGCCTGGGCGGGCAAGCAGGCCGGCCCCTGCATCTTCCGTGTTACGAACCTTTGGTACTCAGCAGCCCACTGTCACTCACCATCTCTGGCTGTCGCTCACACATGCACCTATCGTCGGGCCCTTCTCTGCCTTCCCCTAAGTCGTGACTCACTGACACCAAGGTCCTCCCTGCTGCCACATGCTTCAGCTCTGTTCTTTCTGGGCCCTGGGGCTGCTGCAGAGGCAGCCTGCACTTGCGGCTTGCTCTGTGCCCTCGGCCCTGGCAGCGGCCTGATGGGTGGAGAGCTGGCTTTCTCATCCTCCTTCCCTTCAGATTCACTATTCGGTTCTCTCCTGAGCACATATGTGGAGATTCCGCATCAACTCAAATGTTAAAATGATATTCCAATCTAGTCAACTGTCAGATTTTAAAATTGCCTTTTTCCAGTTGTGGCAAAGGGCTGTGTGAGGTTGCCTGTTCTTCTTATGCCTGATGCCACAGATGTGTGGACACGCTGCTCCAGGCCAGGGCCCAGGCTGGAGCTGGGAGGAGCCTTTCCCTTTGGGAAGGGACTGGGAGGCATGGGGCATGGACTCAGCTTGGGACTGTTCTCCTAAGGAAACAAAGGAAACTGAGGCCAGTTCTGGAACAGGCAGGCTGAGGATGAGGCACTACGCTCCAGCCCTCAGCTCCTTGGCCCCTCTGGCACCTGACCCAATGCTAGGACAGAAATGCTCCATCATGTGCTTCTTTGAGATACACTGAAGATCGGGCTGGGCCGTTAAAGAGGACACTGGATTGAGTGCTACACAAGCCCTCTCGTGAAAAGACAAGACGCTGAGCTCATTATAGAGGTGGGAAGGGAATGCCTCATACAGGAAGGAATGGCTATAGTGACAAGGTTTTAATCAGTCTATCAGCACATCGTGTAATGATTTCAAAGGTAAGAATTTATTATCTAATCAAAAGGATTTGTGATTATAATCAGTGACATTGTACCCAATTAGGAATTAATAATTTGGGCCTAAATGTGAATATTATCTTTACACTGGGTTACAGGATGTGCTCTAACTGGCAGGCCTCCCTTCCCGGGTCCTGGGTCCCAGTGGGAAGAGCCAGCAGGTTGGGGTTGTGAAATTTCAGATCTACAAGGTCCTGAGGCCCAGGAATGCTAAAGACCAGGAGACTGACTGGAGGGAAAAGTTCCAGGGGACCATCAGACAGCCCAAACTCACACCAAACTCTGTTTCAGTCTGGCTGGCAAGCATAGGAAAGAGGCTCTGGCACCAGGCTTAACAGTCTTCACAAATATAATAAATATTTCTTCCCTCTCCACCAGAAGCATACAGAGAGTGAAATGAGTTCTTACTACTTTGGAATAAACAGTAATGTTCTCTGGATAAAAGGCCACCTGGCAGTTTGAAAGATTGGGTTAATCAGACACAGGGAAATTTCTGATTAGTTGGACAATTACCTCAAATTTTGAGAGAGCCAAGGCAATGTTTGAGAAACAGCCTGACCAACTGGGAAACATTCAATAGCCCGAGGCAGAGATTTTTTAGCTTATGAGGGCTGAAATATAATGACACTGTGTGCCATATTATGGTCTCACATCCCCCAGATGTAGAGGGTCTATAACTATTTTTTAAGACCAAACTGACTCAAAATTATTTTTGGCTTTCAATAATTATAGAAATCTGTTTGAAAAGTAGAAAGTGAAGTGTTAGTCGTTCAGTCATGTCCGACTCTTTGTGACCCCATGGAATACAGCCCACGAGGCTCCTCTGTCCATGGGGATTCTCCAGGCAAGAATACTGGAGTGGGTTGCTATTCCCTTCTCCAGGGGATCTTCCCCACCCAGAGATCGAACGGAGGTCTCCTGTGTGACAGGTGGATTCTTTACTGTCTGAACCACCAGAGAAGCCCAAGTCTGTTGGGCCCTTGAAATCACTTCAGGGCTCCAGGACCTGGCAAGGCCAGGATTCAGGGGCCAGGCGAGAAGGATGGATCATCACTTTGGATGACGGGGAAGTGGTCCAGGCCCAGCACCGTCTCTGGGTGAGTCAGCCATGCACCGCGCCTCGACTCCGCTCCTTCCTGGTGTCCGAGGCGGCCTCACCTGGTGGGGGCGTGCTTTTGCTCCTCCTCCTCGTCCGTGTCGCTGCTGATGGTGATGACGCTGACCGTGGGGCTGGGGGTGTCGGGGATGACGATCGTCTGCCGCTGCCGCTCCCTGGTGGTGCTGGAGGCCCCGTCGCCCCAGCCGCACGTGACGGACGAGCTGCAGGCGGGGCTGCTGTGCACCAGGGCGCAGCGTGGCGGCGTGTTCTCCTTGACGCGCTTGGACCGCTGCGGGGAGCTGACGGCCTGAGAGGAGGACACCTCACAGGTGGAGACGTTTCTGGAACGACAAAGCCACACACGCTCATGGAGAAGGTCAGGGCCGGCAGGTCCTTGCTAGAAGCCAAACTGTCTACAAACACCATGGCCAAATTGAGAGGGTAACAGGCCTCGGGTCTCCAAATGGAGGAAACAGGCTGCAAATGTCAGACATTTTTTTAATCTCTCCCTTAAGCGGCAGGAGGAAACAAACTACAAGTGTCAGAATTTTTCCTTTTAAAATTCTCTGTTGCCATGACGACACCTAGTTCCACCTGAACTTAACTTTTCTCAAATCTTGAGCTCACCAATGCGTTTTTCTTATGGAAATGTTTTTCTTAAGCTGTGTTAATGAAACTATGTATTTGCTTTGGAATTTGCCTTTTTTCAAAATGGTTCCACCTAAGACTAACTTTTGGCTGATAATAGCTCAACAAACCAGTATTCATATCAATTGTTTTATGGCTGGGGGATAACATACCTCGTGTCATCCTATCTCAAAAATGTATATTGTGGGAGAGGGGCCTGGTGAAACTCCCTCAGCCTTGAGGTGTCTCTATCTGATTAGTAGCTTTCTTACAGACATAAAACAGCTTGCTAAAACTAGCAGGGGGGGCACTCCCCCTCCCCGTTCCGATGTCTGTGTCAGAAACTTTCTCTGTCTCTTTTTTATACTTTAATAAAACTCTGCTATACAGAAGCTCTTGAGTGATCAAGCCTGGTCCCTGGTCCCCAAGTTAAATCTTCTTCTTTGGAGATCACAAATCCAACACCGTTCATCGTAAGTCATCAAAATCTCCATAAATCGGATAGAGGACCAGCATACTTGAGCCTAATCAGACTGCAGAGGCGGTGGCCTATGGGGCTCTTTCTTTCAATTGCTAACACAGACAGGGCAGCATCCTGGCTTCTCTGGGCTCTGTCCGCTGCGGGACAAAGTGGGTAGCCAGGGCCCTCAGGAGAGGACAGAGGACCGTGCCCAAGGACTGGGCCGATCTTGTGCTGGTGGTGGTGGTGGAGTTTCAGGGGCGTCTGCCCCAACGCAGCCCCCTGCCATCAGGGTTAAAGCCCAACTTCATAAGTTCAATCTTGTCATCCTCCCCAGTGTACTGAGTGAGGTCTTATTTTGGAAGGAGGTGGAAGAAAAGATATTTGCACATAAAGCTTTCGTTTCCTTGCTCATGGCTGGTTTACCACCGATTCAATGACAGCACTCATTTCCTAAGACTTCCTGGAGCTAAAAGATCTAAGGTTAAAGTGTAGCTTTGCTTCCTTCCTCCTCTGGGAAATGGACATGACCATAAAAATATCTCTGGGGGTATAATTTTTCAAAAATTTATTTTTCTGGGGACTTAACGGGCAGTCTAGTGGTTCAGACTCTGCCTTCTAATGCAGGGGACATGGGTTCAATCTATGGTTGGGGAATTAAGATTCCACATGCCTCGCAGTGCAACCAAAAAAAAAAAAAACAAAAAAAAACCCAAAACAAATCCTGGATTTTGACACATGAGCCTCACAGGAAGCTTACCAGTCTGTTTCAATCATAATGAAAAACCAGGAAAAATGAAAAAGGAAAATGTATGCTTAAGGGACCTGTAACTCTTGATTTTGACCAACTAGAAATTACTTAGCAAAAAAGCCAACGTAGTTTCTGGTAACGTTACAGAAAAAAGACCTTACCTTTCCCCTCCCCATCAACCATTGCTGACCTTGGTTGTATCTATACAATGAGACCAAAGCCAGCCTATAATGAAACTTAAGATTGTGATATGTCCTTAGAGATTGTAGCACCTTCTAGCTAAAGGGAAGGTAATTAAATGAAAATTACTCGATAAAGGTGGGTCTATTTAATTTTCTATTTAGTCAGTATCAGATATGTTGCTTGTTCCTTTTGGGGGGCTCCGAATAAGAAGTTTCACTGATAAGATTGTTTTATTATTTATACTTACCAGAGAACTTTGTATTTGTTATTACTAACACAGTACAATTTTGAGATTAAGTTTTCACTACTTGAGCAGTTAAAATATGTCTACTTGGCATTTTTAAAGAAAAGTATGCCTGATGGTACTGCCTGCCAAAGGGGAGAGCCTTCTGGTTTTTCCAACTGTTTTGCCTAAGGCATTGGTCTTAAAAATAGGCAAACCCATAATTTTCACTATAGTCCCACTGATCTTGAAATGCACTGGCAGTGAGCCTTCCAAAGCCAGCTGGGTGGTAAGAAGGCAACAAAGAGGGACTTACCAACAGGTCAGAGGCTAAGGGTTCTTCTTGCCTCTACCTGGCCAAGGTGAGCACACAGAGGCTAAGCTCAAGCCAGACCAGGGTTCTGGCGACCACCCACCAGACTGAGCATGATAGCACGTGCGGAGTGAGACAGGGGCCTCTGGTGCCACCCAATCTAACACAGACATGGGTGTTCTGTCACAGGGCTGTCAAACAAAAGCATTCTGGAAACTGCCACTGATCTGACATGAATTTCCCTAAGTTGTCAGAAACAACCAAGTAAGAATCTTGTTCAGGAAGGATGACAACTTCAGGAAGTCAGCTCTTGGATTAGCTTTCAAATGAAAAAGAATCAAAAGAGGCAGATCTAATTTCTGGCATCTTGCTATACAAGGAAGTATAAAATTCACTAGACATTTCATGTATTACTTGACTTCTCTTGATTAACCTATTTCAAATAAGCAATTAAGGACCTCCAAGCCACTGGAGAGAGATGCAAGAATAATTTTACAGCCATACAATTTTGATATCGATTTTTTTGTTTGTTAGGAAAACTCTATTTTTTTAAGTAAGGTATATTGAGGTATCATTTACATATAGTGTAAGACACCCCTTTGAATTGTTTGATGAGTTTTGACAAATGTACAGTCATGTAATGCCCATCACAATGCAGATACAGAAATCTGTCATCACCTTATAAAGTTCCCTCTAGTCCTCAGCAGCTCCTGATCCATGTCTCTATAGTGTTGTTGTTCAGTTGCTCAGTTATGCTCAACTCTTTACGACCCATGGACTGCAGCACGCCAGGCTTCCCTGTCCTTCACTATCTCCCAGAGCTTGCTCAAATTCATGTCCGTCGAGTCAGTGAGATCACCCAACCATCTCATCCTCTGTCCTTTTCTCCTCCTAACTTCAATCTTTCCCAGCAATCTTCAATCTACACATTCTATGGTTTTACCTTTCTCGAAATACCATATAAGATGAATCAAACAGCACATGGCCTTTGGTCAATCTTAATTTTTTTTAAAGAGTTCATGGAGATGAAACTGAATTTAGAGGAAATGGGAAAGATCATTGTTCTTCTGGTAGTGTCTATGATTAACCAAAGTTATTGCTTATATTTTAGCAAATAGCTGAATGAGTTGAATTTCTGACATTAGACTTCAAATAAAACACATTTCTCTACTACTTCTAAAAAAAAGTTATGGTTTCAAAAATGCATCTTCAGAGGGCAGTCTGAGTGTTTTCTAGATAAGTGGAAGGGGACAAAATCACTCAAGACATGGACACTGAACACTGTGGTCTGAGGGCCCCACCCTTAGGGTGCTGGTAGGGCCAGCACTCACATAGGCCTCAGGATGAGTGCCTCCTTCAAAATCCCATTCCAGGGATCCAGATCTTTAACTTCCAATCTCCTTGAAGTTTTCTTCCTCTGACACTTCTTACACACCTACCTCGCAGAGGACTGGTGTTGCTTATTCTTCCGGGAGGAGGTGGTGCTGGTAGGTTGCTGCCGCATCACGTGGGCCACGCCCACATTTAAGGGTTGAGCTGCTGGAAGGGTCACATGACCAGTCAACAATGCAGGCTGCTGCATGATGGGATTGTAATGGCTGCCATGAGCATGTGTGTTCCTGAAAGGGAGATAGGAAAACAGATTCTTTGATGGTTTAATAGAAACAGAGCTCCTTGAGAAGATAAAAGTTCCCTCCCCCCCATTAAAAGTCAAATTAAAATCAAAAGGTAGTTCTCACACGGAGGGGAGAGTTGTTGAAGAGATGAGCCTTCCCAGGTGACTTCATTGGGTATCTCTGGTGTAGGAATGTTTAAGTGGCATGGACACAATTTGTTGGCGAGTGAGAAAGGGCATATTTCAAGTGGGGAGAATGCCAAGTAGGCGGACTCAGCTTAAGTTCTGGGGAGAGGAAATAAATATTCCCTTCTGCTCTTTAAGACCCTAAACAGCTAACTGGGCTGTGTATTTTATTTTATAATTTACAAAGTGCCTTCAATGGGTTGTTTCACTCTGTGAGGTAGGCAGGATATCTTAGTAATACCGTTTTGTAAGTGAGAATATTGCAGTTTATGTGAAAAACAAACTTTGAAGACTGGGAGTCATGTCTTTCTGGCATTAGGAAGTGTTAACATTCTTTAGAATTCTCTCAGCAGTTAGCATAATGTTCAGGAATGTAGCAGCTGATCAGTGAGTTGCATGCTTTCTGAATGAACAATTAGATTAACTGAAGGTTGACTAGACATGTATAGAGTTTGGTACTAAGAGCAAATTAGTAACAGACACATGTTGATAGAAATATTGGCAGCCATAATCCTGAAAATGGGTTATGTGAGATCTGGGTTGTAAGGTGCTGTTAGGCTTATTCCCACAGAAATATTAAGAGTGATGATGAATTTAGAGAGTTTCCCATAAAAACTCATTTAATACATGGTAAAATGAAGAGCTATAGGAGAGTTCATATGAATTTTAGGAAAAAAAATTGAACACAAAGAAAAGAAGTAGGGAGACACTTTTGAAGAGATCCTGATAGTCTTTTGGACATTTAAATGAACTTTAAAAACTGATGTTATAGCTCCTTCATTTTGTTGCTATTTCTTCTACAGACACGGCATTTTCCCCTTTGACACAGATCTAATACTAGCCATGATTCCAGATGTTCTTTGGGCTACATATGAAATGGAGAAGAGACTGAAAAGAAACTGTGTTGGCTTTAGGTCTCTACTGTGGTAACCAGGTAAGAGATGAGGAGGGATGAGAGATAAGATGATGTGCATGAATGAGTTAAGAATGTCAGTATCTCTGAAATAAGCTGTAAATGCTGAAAGACAAAGGAAAATGGAAGTACAGCATATTGTGGTCTTCTGGGAGAAAAAGGGGTAAGGAAAAAAACAACTGGTCAAACAGCTTTCCACTTGGTTGCTGCTGCTAATGAGCTGGAGAGGGAAGGTGGTCTTGCTGAGCGGTCATGCTGTGAACGGGGGAAGGGCAGATAACAGATTTATTGCTGCCTGTCATGGATCAGGCGCTGGTATGCAGTGAAATGTTATTCACCCAGTCATGTCCGACTCTGCGACCCCATGGACTGTCACCCGGCAGGCTCTGTCTGTGGGATTCTCCAGGCAAGAATACTGGAGTGGGTAGCCATTCCTTCCTCCAGGGGAGCTTCTCAAATTAAACCCAGGTCTCCTGCATTTCAGGCGGATCCTTTACCCACTGAGCCACCAGGGAAGCCTGGGGCTGGAATGGTACATGTTAAATCCAGTCAAGTGCTTTGTCTTTTATCTTAAATTTAAACTTCCCAACGATCCGATGAATAGGCATTACTGTCTCTACTGAAGAACTGAGGCTCATACAGGTTTAAGTAACTTTTCCCAGGTCATGCAGGGCTAGAAATGAACCCAGTTTACCTGGCTTGAAAGTGCTTCCAGTGAGAGGGGGTGGACGTGGGGGGATAGCATTATCAGTGGAAAGTGAATGGGACTGTTATAAACAGCCTATGTTCCTCTCTTCTTCCTACTAAATTAGAATTAATAAATTAGTAATTAGAAAACTAAATGGCAGGACAGAGGCTGCAGTTGAGGCTTAACTGGGGGCCTGTCTCTGCCTTTCATCAGAGCTCTTCACTCACAGCAGCCTTACAGGACAGGAAGAGAACTGTCAAGAGGCTCCATGGCTGGTTTGGGGACTGTCAGAGGGTGAAGGGTGTGAACTACTCTGATGCTTCGGCTGAAAGAGAGACAGGCCAGAGGGCCATGGGAAGTTGGGGCCGACTTGGGGGACTGCCATTTGGCTCTGCACTGGTGAAAGCGGACACTGTGGGTGGTGTTGGGATGGCACAGGTGGCAGGTATAAGGAAAAGAGGAAAGTGGCCATAAAAACAACAGAGCCACATGTTAGTGATGAAGCTGGTGAGTAGGATGGGGTGGAAAGTTCTGGAAACAGATGCAGGGGTCGTGGTGTGCTTGTGGCTGTCAGCTGGATGTCTCTGGGCTCTGTGGAAAGTGTACTTTGATCTCAAAGATATGAGGATCAACTGAAGAGACACACTCAGCAAACACAGCAGAGTTTACCATTCCAAATAAACCCCTGTCTGTCAAGCCTTCCCCAGGAGGTCTGATGTGACTCCCGCGTGCTCATGTCTGAAAATGCCTCGAGAACACTTCCTAGAATTGCTTAGGAGCCCCTGGATCTCTTCTGCCTCCTTTCATGGGTAACAGATCTTTGTTTTCTGGGAGTGGAATTGAATTCGGAGAAACAACCAAAAATCATCCCAAGTCAAGTCTGGTGAATCACACTGGTGATCAGATAATGGAACTGGATTTGGAGTTCAAAATGACAACAGATCCTAAAGTAACCAAGCTGGTTTGCTGGTGTCCCGGTGTACATTTATTTAAAAATAACCTCTCATTACACTGCAGCCTTAGGCCACATGGTGTGCTTGTGTGCTTAGCTGCTCAGTCGTGTCTGACTCTTTGCGACCCCGTGAACTGTAGCCTGCCAAGTCCCCCTGTCCATGGGATTCTCCAGGCAAGAATACTGGAATGGGTTGCCATGCCCTCCCTCCTCCAGGGGATCTTCCCAAACCTGGGATTGAACCCAGGCAGGCCAATGCTACTCTCTTTAATTTAAAAAGCCCTCTACAAAGCAGGGGACTCTGGTACTGGCCAGCCTGGCCGCCCTCTGGGTCAGGGGTGGGCGAGCCTCCCAGCCCAGCCCCGCCTGTGCCTGCTCACCTCCAGTCGGCCAGCTGCTGGGTGCCGGCCATGGTCTCGGGAATCACAGTTGCGTGCTGCACCGAAGTGTGCGTGGCCACGCCGGTCAGCTGTTGCCACGCTGGGGGAAGCAGGATCTGCTGGGTCCCACTTGGCCAGGCCTGCTGCAGGACAGAGGACACCTGCCATCACTATGTCTGACAATCATAAATCAGCTGGCATGAGTCAAGTGCTTATTCTGTGCTCAAGGTTGTGCTAGACCCCTTGACAGGTGCGACAGTGGAGACCCGCTCTCTGACCTCAAACACCAGGGCAGATAAAATGAACACTTGTGAAGTCAATAGAAGATAATAGGTAGGTATATGGGCAAAGAACTATATGGAAGCGATTCATTCACACTGAAGAATGATTTATTTATAAATCTGCTCTAATGAACAATGCTTAAAATTCCCCAAAGTTCACTTATTGATTTGTTTTGTGACACAACTGTGTGCAAGAGATTGAGGGAGTTGATTTGGGTCATACAAAGGTAACTCCTTGCCCTCAAGAAGTTTTCTGCCTAGTATCCTTTATTTAATATTTTACATTTTGTTTAGCAGTTAGAATGTAGAGGTGCAACTTGTGTTATTTTCTGAATCTAAGTTAACATAATTCTGAGATCACCAAGTATCTGACACCTGCCTATATCCGAGGGCAAACAAGCGTGAGGTGAAATTCTTAGCTGGGATCTTGAGCTTAACTGAGAATACTTTGACTCCTCAAGGCGAAAATGAAACAGTGAGGAAGTCACAGTTCGATTTTTTATAAATACCAAGCTATTTCTTAAAAAGTTGAAAATGAACTTTCCTGATTCCTCCTTGAATAGACCTACAGGCATGTGTGTGTACACGTGTGGGTGTGTGTTGTTTTGAGCCCTCTGTATCTTCAGTCACTATTCTGCTTGCCTTTGGTTATTAAATGATTCATTCTGAACAGTTGTCCAAAGTTGGACACTTGAGGGAACGCTGCTAAGGTAAAACACCTCTTGGGCAGGTCAAGGATTTCAAGACTTGGGATCTTAGCTCTTTCTCTCTCTTCCCATCAGGATGGAGATGACTAACACTGGCTAATTAACCTGAAGTCGTGCTCCACAAACTGTGCATATGTTCAATATGTGTGTTTTGGCTCATATCAACAAACAAGCACTTCGGGAAATGGATTATAAATCTGAGTCAAAACTTCATAAACAGTGATGTGTACTAAAATGATACGGCTTCCTCTTAGATCTAAGTGCATAGTTCACCTGGTCTATCCTCTTATCACTGTTGCACATGAGACTCAGGGAGATCTCTTATGCCTTTTAGATATGCCTGTTTGCTTACTGATCTTTTACAATATAGTCAAAAAGCTCTGGGACCACAGATTATACAATAAGTGCTTAAGAAATGTTTGTTGATAAAATGAAAGAAGCGATTCTACCAACGCAATTAACTATACTTAGCTGTATTTCAGGTTTACGGAGTTCAAACACAGTAAGCAGAAAAATAATTTAATTGATTAAAATAGTTATGAGCTCAAAAGCTTAAATGAATAATCGTCTCATTGGCAATAAGAATTCTACTGATTTTGTCTGGAACTTATTTCAGATCCCATGAAAAGCCTGTGTTTCGACTTAATGTCATTTTGAAATAATATATCTTGATATCAAGCTAAGGACATTATTTCTTCCCTGTTTCCCTAAAATGAATCTTAGCATTTTACCTCAAAGAGATGGGGTAAAAAGATATTTCTGGACCTCTATCACTGATGGATATGTTCAACTCATTTGAGACAACACTTTGCATCAGATATTTCTATAATTTATTACTACTCTATAATCTGTAAGATTAGAGCCAATATTTCTGGATGCACATTGTGTGCCAAGCATACAGCTGAGACCATAAATGGATTTTCTGACTTTATCTTAACACCAATCCTGTGAGGTAGGGACTATTCTCCCCTCCCATTTCTCAGATGAATAAACTGAAACACAGAGAAGTTAAATAGCTTGCCTGGACATATAATAAATTAAACACACATTTACAGTTCTCCTTCTTTTAAGCCCAACTAAAATGACAGTGAAGGAATGAAAAAAAAAATAGATCCATAAGGACACAGAGGACAGGGAGGGATGGCAACAGTTCACAGAGTTTTAGAAGCTGGAAAACAGAAGAGTGATCACTAAGTTCGCAGACTGAAGGGATGTGAGGTCAGGTCTAAATATTAAACCCTGGGATTCTGTCACCCTCAGGTTCCTGGTACGAAGGATTGTTACCCCCCACCCCCACCCACAATCTTAAAGCAGGAACCTAGTGGATTCTCTTCGGGGAAACTGACTATTCCAAGAGGAAAAAAACTATAGATACATTCGATGAGAGGGGACCGGCCAATGAAAATGCTGAGGTCACTCCTTATTATCCGATAGAGAAGTCCACGCCCCTGTCCCTGAAGCTTGCCAGTCAGCTTTTAGTCCTTCAGTCTTAGATATGAATGAACAGCCAAGGATCACCAGACTTTAAAGGAAGTTTCTATCATGAAGGAGACTAAAACAAAAAATGAAACTCTGAGGAGCAACAACAGTATAGGAATCGGAAGAAAATCTAAAAAAAATGTAATTAGTGTCCTCAAAGAGGCTAAATGTGTATATATATCCATGAAACAAGATATAAAGGATATATATCTATATTCTGAGAACAAGAAAACTCTTGGAAATGAGAACAATGACAATAGAAATGAACAATTCCATACAGATGGGAAAATTTTAGAAAGTAGCATAGATAGAATATATACAGAGAAAAGGTGGATGGGGTGAAGGTGGGAGATATGAAAATCATTAGATCAGTTCAGAAGTACCAGCGCTCAATTAACAGGAATTCCACAAAGAAGGAACAGAGGAAATGGAGGTGAAGAAGTTAACAAAGGCAAAAATAAAAGAAAATTCTTTTATCTTTTCAGATAAAAAGGGCAAATAGGATGTACCAGACAGTGTATTCTAAAAGACTCATAAGAAAGCATGTAGCCATGAATCTCAGACCACCATGGACAAGGAAAGTCTTAAAAAGTTTTCAGAAAGGAGGAAAAACAATAGCCACTGAACTTCTCAATATGCTCAAAGACACCAATACATCAAACACACAAGCCTTTTAGAGCTCTGGAAGACTTTGGGGCTGCATAATAACACATACAGAGAAAACTGACCCAATGAAAAGATGAGACAATATTAATTCCAGGAAAAAAAAGTTATACAGGAAAGGAAGCAGAATCGTAGTATGTTATGAGGCTCAGCTGAGAATAAAACAATGCAATATTGATGACAATAATTATGTAGATAATATAAAGTGGTTGAATAAAAACTTACAAGGGAGGAAAAGGGAGAATGGAAAAGTGAGAGAGAGGAAGACAGTGTGCATGCGAGTGGGCTTTATGTTCCAGGGATTGAGGGTTAGAGGGCTAAGCATTCTTCCATAGTTGATTGATACCTAAAGTGGAAAAATCAGTAAGAGGCAGTTAAAGAATGCTATCCAGAAACATGGATTTAAAAAACTAAATGAAACAGAAAAACAGATGACCATCCAAGTTCAATGCATGAAACAGGGCACTCAGAGCTGGCTCACTGGGACAGCCCAGAGGGGTGGGATGGGGAAGGGGTGGGACAGGGATTCGGGACGGGGGGACACATGTACATCCATGGCTGGTTCATGACGGTGTATGGCAAAAACCACCACAATATTGTAAAGTAATTAGCCTCCATTTAAAATTAATTAATTAAAAAAATGATAGTTTTGGGGGAATGGAAATTGGGGACGGGATTGGCAGGAGACTAATATTTTCTTAGAAGTTTGTGGTGGCATTTAACTGTAACAATTAGACACATGTATTACTTTGAAAAAGAATTAAATTTAAATTCAAAAATAACTTCTCCGAAGTCAAACAGCCAGTGAGTGGAGGGGCTGCTATCTGAACATGGGCAGTGGAATTCCAGAGCCCATGCTCTCAGCCAATATACTACTCTTTTTATGGAGGTGATACACAAAAACGATGGCCCAATTCAGGATCAGGTGCCCAAGAGTCGTATGAAAAAGTCTTCCTTATTTATTAGCAATATCAGGCACCCAGCAAGACTGACACAGACAGCAAGACAGAATGGTTGGAAGGAGTGGTTGCTGAAAATGACCAGAGGAGGCTTTGAGAAGCGTTGAAGTTTTGTATTTTGGACAGTTTAAAGAGTCCAAGACAATGGTTTAGCCTCAGGGAAACATTTAAAGGGGTTCAGGTGACATGAGTTAATTGGTTAGAAGAATGCACTAAACTTCTTCACGGCAGGGCAGAGTCTACAAGGATCTGGCAAACAGAAATCTCCATATCCTGGGGGCTCTGGATGGTCCTGGGGGTTTGGGATCCTGCCATTTGAAAAGTGAGATAAATTCAATACCATCTCAATCAAGACGTGTACTTCCCATCTCTCTACCTTTACTGGCTCATGCACAATTTCTTTTTTAAAATTTTAAAAATTTATTTTATTTGTTTATTTGGCTGTGCTGGGTCTTAGTTGCAGCACATGGGATCTTCAACCTCTGTTGTGGCAGGCAGCATCTTTAGTTATGGCATGTGAACTTCGTTGTGGCATGTGGGATCTATTTCCCTGACCAGGGATTGAACTTGAGCCCCCTGCATTGGGAGCGTGGCGCCTCAGCCACTGGATCAGCAGGGAAGTCCCTCATTCACAATTTCTGATGGTAGTCAAGATGCCAATTCTGGGCACTGGGTGGACAGAGGTGAAAGCTCCTTTTAGGCGATACCAAAAAAGCATTACTGGTAAGGCGATCTATATGATCACCCTCGTTTTACTAAAATGAGAGGTGTGATTATTTGCAGAGACACATCTTTGGGGTGCACCAGAGAGACTGTTTCCCATTTTAGGGACATATGATGCTACTGGAGAGGGGAGGTTGGAAAATGGCAGAGCAAACAAAGCTAACATGAGGGATGGATTCAAAAGACTATTTTTAAACATGCACAAACTCCTTGAAAAGGTTTAAACATTTAGATAAAAAGAAATGTACTGAAATTTGGGGATATATTTAAAGTAATAATATTTGGAGTACCTCTGCCTGATACCTAACCTAACCCCAAGAAAAATGAGGGCATCAGTGTCAATGTGTAATTATTGCTTAAAAAAAATAGCTGCCATACTTGTTTTATAGGGCTTCCTTGGTGGCTCTGACGGTAAAGGATCTGCCTAGTTTTGAAAGTTGCTTATTTTTTTTCCTTTGAAGGGATCATTAAAAAATATCTAGGAGAAAGCTCCACCTTAATAGGCTAACATATTGGCATGGATTGGGTGACAAACAAGAAAAATCAAAAGCAATCAATAAATAAAAAAGATACACAGTGACACTGGATAGAACAGGATCGTTCTTGTTTTTTTGTTTTTTTTCAAAGTTAATATCTCTTAGACAACTCTGCATATCAAGTCACTTTGGTCTTCCATGTCCTTTTAATGGCTATGTGGTGTTCCATTTTATGCCCTTATCAATTTAAACCGATTTCCTACTGATGAACATTCAAATTGCTTCCAGCAGTTCCCTGTTATAAACACGGTAGCAATTAAAATCCTTGAACATGTATTTTTGGTTCACTTCCCCACTTAAAGCTGTAGGTTAAATCCACTTGGAGATTTATAGTGCTCCAAGGACTCCTTTTCAAGCAGGCAGTTGCTAAAGCCCTTCCCTGCTATGATTAAAGGACTAAGACAAATTCGGAAATGCTGGGCCTATTAGTTTCCACCGAACTGAACAACGAGGAATATCTACTTTAGCTGGTAAGCGATGCTATGTATTATTTCTTTCAGAGATGGTTCCTGGGTTCCTAGGGTTAAGTATGCAAATACAAAGGATCTATACGTGTATGTTTTAAGAGTACGTGTGAATTCTACAGGTTTTGGCTCACAGAGGAGCAGCACTGGGAAACTGGCCTGAAGTCGGCTCCCAGTCAGATGAAGTGTGAACAGGCTGCCGTGCCCCTGGAGTGAGTGGTAGTTCTCTTGATCTACCAGGGCCTTTTCTGAACTCCGTACTACCAAACTGTGCAAACAAAAGGGAGCTATGAGAGAGAGGAAGCAATACAGGTGTGCTTTATATATCAAAGGCTCTCTATTTAAACTTTCAGCAAGACAGAATTGCGTGTGCCACCAGAAACTGGTGAGACTGGGCATCTGCAGTCTCAATCTGGACATAAGAACAAAGAGATGAAGAATGGCTAGTGTCAATCTCAAACAAGCTGTTTCTGAAAACAGAAGAAGTAGTAATATCCAACGTATCTTATGAGCCTGGGTATAGTCTCCATGCCCAAAACAGATAAAGATTCTATAAGAAAGAGAAATCCATGCCACCTCCTCACATATGAACATAGATGCAAAAATACTAACTGCAGTATTCACAAACAATCCAGAATTGAAAAGCATACAAACACATCAAGTACCACATGATCAAATAAAGTTCACCTTGAAAATATTGATACAAAGATGATTTAACATTACAAATCTATTAAGTAACTTGTTACATTAACAGTTAAAGGAACAAAAACACAGGAGAATTTCAATAGGTGGAGAAAGAAAATTTGATGCAGTTGAATATTAATTCATCAAAAAAATTAGCAAACTTCATAAAGTGTCCCTAACCACTCTTTAAACAAAATCTCTAGTGGCAAACAGCAAGAAGAATTTCCTTTAAAGTTAAGTTCAAGTTAAGAATGCTCAATATCAACACTCTTATTAAACATTGTTTTGGAGGTACTGTTAGCACAGTGTCATTAGAACAATAAATAACAGTTATAAAGACTGGAAAGGAAGAAACAAAATTGTATCACTTGTAAAGGAAAAACAGTCTACATAGAAAATCCAAGGGAATTCACAGAAACAATCAGAACTAATCAGAGTTTGGAAGGACTGCTGGATAACAAACTCAGTGGAGCAAAACCAGTTATATTCCTATTAACCAAAGACAAATAATAAGAAAATACAGTTAATAAAGTTATTCATAACAGAACTATAAAGTATTTAGGAATGATTCTAACAAAAGAAAACTCTAGTGAAAGGAATAAAAGGTAACTTATATACAGTTATATACCGTGTTCAAGGATGAAATGACAATATTACAAAGAGGTCAATTTTCCTAAAAGTGAATATAAATCCAATGCAGGTCCAATAAACACAAATCAGGGTGCTGGGTTTTTGTCTTGTTTCTTTTGGAACTAAAATTCTTATGTAAAGGTGAAGATAAAATTCACACAGGAAAGCAAAGGGACAAGAAGAGACAAGAAATTTTGAAGAACGTGATAGGATCAGGGCTTTCCCCACCAGATATCAAGACATACATTAAAGTTATAAAATCAATAGTAAAGACAACAGGATATTAGAGAGGCCAATGAACTAGAACAGAGTGAGTCCAAAATTGCTGTTCAGTTGCTCAGTTGTGTCTGATTCTTTTGTGACTCTGTGGACTGTAGCCCGCCAGGCCCCTCTGTGCATGGGATTTCCCAAGCAAGAACAGTGGAGTCAGTTGACATTTCCTTCTTCAGGGGATCTTCCCGACCCAGGGATCAAACCTGTGTCTCCTGCATTGCAAGTGGATTCTGTACCACTGAGTCGCCAGGGCACCCCATGAGTCTAAAATAGACCTATGCCATTTGACTACATTAAAATTAACCCCCAAACTTCTGTTCAACAAAAGACACCATAAATAGTGTCTTTGGGAACCAACTTCATTTAAAAAACAAAGGTGCTTTAAACTAACATTTCAGTCACATTATCCCTGACTGCCAACAACAGAAACCATGATAAAGAAACAGTACAGCGTGACGGGCTAAAGCACGCGTGCTGGTGTCAGACTTCTCGGTTAGTGTCCTGGTTCTGTCACCTAATTGCTGTGTGACTTTGAGCCGCTGCTTCTGCCTCATTTGTCACAAGGAGACAAATACTTTACCATATTGTGGGGATTAAATCAATAACAACTACAAAGTGCTCAGCACAACCAAGATGTATTTGTTATTAATGTCCAAGTGACATTAAGGATCGATTACTTATTATCATTACACCACTTTGTTACCTAAAATTTTCATAACACGTCACAAATTTTCAACCAGTTTCACCTCTGTGATCTCATTCGAGGAATCTACCAGAGTACCTATGTGAACAGATAAGGAAGGTTCCAGCCCAAAGCCTCTGTGATCCTGGTTTTCAACTAGGAGACAATGAGATAATCTCCAAGGCTTTTTTTCTGCTTTCAAAAAATAGTTTTAGTTTATAATAAGGAAATACTAACTGACTTGCCTTGGGTCACAGAGAGTTATTAGTAGAGTTAGGATTAAAACCTAGGTCTCTCATATTAATCTGCATTACAAAGAGACAATAATAATAATAATAATAATAATAATAATAAATTTCCCCAGACTCCCCTTGTGTCTAAATTTCCTCTTGGAACTGTAAGCTAGATACTTAGGAAGGTAATTCACCTGGGGATCATTCGGAATACTACTTATATATTCTAATGACTTGAGGCATCTAACTCACTGCCAGGGAGGGAATTATCGGAGATATACCTCTTTTGTGAACAACATTAACATGGATCGTGGTAACACCAGTGATAATAAAGAAAGAATTACCTGGGCAAGCAGACCTGGTTGGATTTGAAGAGGCTGAGCTCCTGGGGCTTGAGTGACGATGGGAACGGCATTTTCCATTCGTACAGAGTAGCCAGCATGTTTAGAGGGAGAGGCCTGCAATCCTAGTGGAGACAAGGAGTGAGGGGGAGAAGGGCTGAGTAACTGGAAAGAGCTGGATGAGGAGAGCTTCCTTGCCCGCTCTGTCAGCCCTCAACATCCCTTTGCACTAGTCCCCACCAGACACTGCCCGGTCCTTTGGAAGTCTTCCCCACCTCAGTTTTTAACTTAAAAAAAAAAAGGTTTTTTTGTGTGTTTTTTTTTTTCTTTGGCCATGCCACATGGCTTGTCGGGATCTTAGTTTGCCGACCAGGTACAGAACCCAGGCCTTCATCAGTGGAGGCATGGAGTCCTACCCATTGGACCACCAGGGAATTCCCTCTAACTTAAAATAAAAAAACCAAAAAAACCCCGACCTTTTTGAATTTTTCAAAGACTCAGTCAAATTAAGGAGTCTTTAAAGCCAAGAGTGGAACAGTTATGCTGACAAATTACAGCAGGAAAACAGCTGCTCTTGTCATGAAGATATTGGGTCAGAGCGGGGGAGAGAGGGTAAGGCTGCTGGGACAGCACTGACTCAAACTGAACCACACAGACTCACACCAGGGCGTTTTCAGAACCAAATTCTCGAGTTTTCTGTGTAAACTATAACCAGGTACCCGGTCAACTCTTGCTTAGAATTTTTAGGAGAAGAGTGCCGGGGTGCCTGGCCAGAGGTGGGGGGTACAGGCCAGGAAGTACTTTTCAGAAAGGTTTATATTCTTCACAAGAACGGGGACTAGTGCACTGTCAGAGGCTGGCAGTGTGCTATAGATAATCCACACAGAGGTTATTCCACGGGAGGCACCGCGAGAGCTGACATCAGCATAACAATGGGAGTGCACACAATGTGCTGATTTACAGATGGCGGCTGAGCCAGGACAAAACCACTGGCAGGTGGTGCGAATAACAAGGAACGGACTTGATGCAGAAGCCAAAGTCCATTGTTTCTAGGTTGGCCGCCCCTGGATGGGGGCCCTCAAGTTCAGTGATGCCAGGGCTCTCGCAGAAAGAAACAAAGAGGGCTTTAGCAGGACAGAAAAGCATGGGGCCAGCACCACAGAGGCGGTCCTGGTGGAAGCAGGTGGGAGGCTGGGTGCACTCCGCCTTACCTTGGAAGCCGGGTGGACACACGATGAGTGCTTGCTGGAAGGGGTCGGGCCGAGCGCAGATCTGGGCGGCTCCCGTCTGCAGGGGCATGCTCCGCTGGGCCACCGCGGCCATGGATGCCGCTGAGGGCTGGCAGAGTGCAGATTGGTAGTTTAGTATGGAGACCTCGGGATTGGCTAGGGAAAGAGTGGCACTGGTGGAGGTGGGAGCCTAAAGGAATGGTGGGGTTAGACAAAAATAAAACAAATAAAACATGAGGGAGATGGCATGTCGGGAGACACGGATCTAAATCAAATAAATGAACTCAAAAAAGAGCAAACGAATGAATGAAAACAATGAGCCAAAAAAAAAAAAAAAGCAAAAATAGGGGAGTGGAAATACAGTTGGAAAGTCTCAGGGGAAAGTAGGCACCTGCAGCCCAGGACACAGAATCACCTCTGATGCTTAGATTTGGGCCTGTTCTTAATATTTTCAGGGCCTGTTCCTAATACTTGCAGGGCCTGCAAGTGCACACGGATGCCTGCATGTCAAGTCTAAACTGCAAAGTTAAGGACTGGCTAGAAAGAATTATGATCTGCCCTTCTACTTGGACATAAACACTTTTATAACCACCTGGAGGGCTTTGGTTTGAGTCTGAATCCGGGTTCCTTGGCTTGGGCCCTGAATCTGGAGGCGAGTGCCTGCCTGCCTTCTCTCCAGGCCCCAGCTCCGTCCCACAACCTGAGGGCCCTCGGGTGCAGGTATTTGGATTTGGTTTCTACTGGGGAGGACAAAACTAGAAGTGGCTCCTCCAGGCCCCGGGTCTCAGACTCCTGGAGCCTGACACGGAAGCAAGCGTGCTCGGGGAGAGCCTGGGCAGCAAGGTCTAAGGGTAGCACTTTAACAGACGCCCTCAGACGTTCACAGACCACAGCTGCCGTGGAGAAGTAACACTACGGACACAGAGACACAGGGGGACAGGCTGAGGCTCAGGCTACTTGTTGGAACTCGGTGCGTTCTCGAGCTGGCATTCCGCAACTAAGGCTAAAGGGCAAGGAGAAGGTGCCAGGGGGTCAAGAGAACTTGAGATGGGTTAAGTTCAATGGAGCTGTGTTAGACAGACACTGCAGTTAGGTCCTCTCTCCTTTCTCTTTCAGAAAGAGACAGCATTTGAGGTTGAAGTTCCATGTGAAGCAAGGTCATGGAAGGAAGAGGAATTCTACATTGGCAGTTTTCCAGTTTCACCCCATCTTAGTCTTCTTCATGCTGATCCGTTAGTAAGATAGGTGGAGTAACCCATGGCTTCCATGTCAACCTCACTTATGAGACATTTTGCTACCAGAGGCTACAAGGACTAAAAAAGTAAAAAGGGAAAGAGCCACAAGGGCATCGGGAAATTAGGACCTTAGGAAAGGTATGCATATGTGTCAAATTTGATGAAAAGGATAAAGTCTCATTTTACATGTCTTTTATACTTATATTTTATGCTGAATTTCAGTGCAAAGCATAGAATTTGTTTGAAAGTAATCACCAACTTAGGTACTGCCCATGTTTAGATTTTAAGATATTATTGTAACAACAAATGTCTCTTTGTGCAGCACCACACAGTCAGCCTGCAGGTAGTGTGACTGGGAATGCACGTGTGACACATGTGTGGCCAGCATCTCTTATCACTATTTTTTACTGAAGTGTAGTTGATTTACAATGTTGTGTTATATGTATATATTCTAACAAAGGGAAACTCTAGTGAAAGGAATAAACACGTATGATTTTCCTATTCCTTTCCATCATAGGTTACTAAAAGGTACTAAATACAGTTCTTTGTGCCGTACGGTAGGTCCTTGTTCATCTACTTTATAGTCACTTGCATGGGGCCAGCATTTGGGGTTGCTGCCAGCGGCATGCCTTGTGTTTCCTCTCTGTTCTCTCTGCAGCCTCACCTCTCCTGGAGGCTCCCCTCAGACACACCTCCCACTAGCACCCTGCCTTCTACACACCAGAGTCCACACTCTCCCCTCCTCTTCCTGCCTCCTGGCTTCCCTCCCCGGGGCACTAGCAGCAGTCTCCTCCAGGTTCCCACACGGGTGCTCAGTGGCTCCCCCTTCTGGTCAGCCACTGGTCCTGCTGCTCCTTCCTTCCAAATGTCCCTGGGACCCTCTCCCTCTTTTTCACTGATACTTCGCTAAGGCCTTCTGTCCTGGGGCTTGGGACCTGTAAGGCCTTGACTAGTGATGTTCTGGTCTCCAGTTCTCTTCTAATTCTTCTTGGGCACAGAGGCTAGAACATTCCTTCCAAATGCCTACTTTGTGTGTGATGCCACCTCTGCTCACAAGTCTCTGGTTGCTGCCTAATGAACACTGTACACGCATCTTAGGCCGGCCCTCCTTCCTCACAGTTAGGCCCAACTTCCCGTCTCAATGTATCTTCTACTCTCCCTGCTCAGGGCACCAGCCAGACGGTCTGCTCACCGTGCTGGGACTCTGGTGACGAAGAGCAGAATCCCCGTGGTCATTGAGTTCACCTGACTGGCGGTGGCTGCCCTAGCCTGAGGACTGAGCTAGGCGCTGGGTGAGAATGTTTATCGCACAGGACTCCAGGCCTTAGAGAAATGAACTCTTCCGGCCGAGAAGAACGGTAAGGACACCAGTGGCCTCCAGGGGGCAGCAGATTCTAGGCGGCCTCTCCTAGAGGGTAGGCAGAGGGGGAGAGGAACAGGCTGGGAAGGAAAGCTGGGCCCTAGCAACCAAACGTGCTGGGAATGGCCTGGGAAGCAGGGTCAGTGACTCTTCATGGGAGCACAGGACCTGTCTAAAGAGAGTGGATGGCCAGGCAGAGTATTCACACTGGAACATATATGCTCCTTTGCTGTCGAGGGGTGTGGTACGTGCATGTATACACACACACACGCATACACAGGTGTGTTGTTATCATTAAAGACTGATACTAAGACTGAAGAAAATCTAGGGACACTTTCTTTGGGGGAACTGGTAATACTGGTAGGTAGGAATAAAAGTTAAAGTCTCTTAGATACCAGAGGTTGCCTGAGCAAGGGCGTGGAGACTCTTCATATAGTACGTATTTCCCGGGTATCATCCATATTTCCAGCAGTAAATTAGGTGCTAGATTCTGCAAATTTTCTGCAAGAGGTTTGAAAGCTGTGGGTCCCCTTTTAGTTCTCACTGCTGGGATTCTGGTGACAAGACTTGGAAAAGGACAGGTTTTGTCTGTGTTGAAAAGAGATCATGTGGACCCAACAGTGTGGACATGAGGAGCTGGGGCCTGAGCTGGATGACCACTAGCATCCATCCCTTCCAGTTCTAGAATTCTCCATCAGGCAGATGTCAGACATGAGAGGATCCCAGCATCTCCTTTACCTTATTCTCACAGCAGGACAGGAAAGCAGTAGGAGGTACCATTTCAGAAATAACTCTCTTAGTGAGTCATTTCTGGGACCTTTCAAGGGTCTAGGAGTCAACACAAAGAATGCCTGAGGATCTCAAAGGAAATAACGACGAGGACAAACACCTTCTTGCAGAGCTGAACGTGACAGTAGAGGGATTCTGTCTGTTGTATATGATAGTGGAGTTGCCTCCCGACTCAGCTTGGTGGGAAAATATAATCCCTGACCTTCGCTCTGTCAGCCCCCTGTCTGCCTTCCCCTCTGCTCCCCACTCACCTGGTTGTGGACAGTGTTCAGCTGGTTGTTGAAGGTCATGGTCAGGTTGGTGGATGTGCTGGGGGCCACGTGCGTGATGAAAGGGGTTTTGCTCTGGTTCACCGTGTCATACATGTTCACCCGACGCTTGCAAATCTCCATGTTCTGGAAACATGATTTGACGCTGTTCATGCAAAAGGTAGAGACAGAGGTGTCAGGGAAAGAGAGTAACATGGAATTACAGGGGAGAAAATGGAGAGAGAAAAAGAGAGGAGAGTTAATCTAATAAACGAAACAACCAAGACACTTCACTTTGGGTCTCAGGTTCCTGGATTTCTCAGGCAATGTCTGCATTTGCAAGAGTTGGTAGTATTTACAGGAATTCCACTCCCCTCCCCGCCCCCTCCCACCCTACACCTTCTCACTGCCTCCTCCCCCTCCTGGGTGGGTAACAGTTCTCCACCAACACAAAACAGACCTTTTGGCTCTCACTGCATTTCCTCCTGCTGCTGATCTGCCTCCTAATTTCCACAGCTCATTCTTGGTTTTCAAAGTGGTTTCTGGCCCATAAATAAACGTGTAAGTTCTCTGATTGGGACAGGTCAGCAATGGATGACCTGCCTCCATCTTCCTTGCCCACACCCTTTCCAGCTAATCCAGGGCACCAGCGCCATCTAGGGGTCAGGCAAAGAATAGCCAACCCAGTATCAGGACCTATTGGCACTCTTACTCCTCCCTGGATTGTGCATGGATGGAGAACAATGATTTTAACAACTACTAATAGCGATGACGTTTACTGACAGCGTGGCAGCTGTTCACAAGCACTCTTTCACTCAGTCCTACAACAACCACGAGGGGAAGACAGACAACTGTTACCCCTATTTTGCGAGTAAGGATAAAGCAGAGAAGGGATAGGTAATTTGCCAAGATCAAGAGCTTCACAAAGACATGTACATTCTCTTTAATTTCCTTCATTCTTCCTTTTTTCTGATTCTTACCCAGTTACATAAAATAAAAATTCTCTCCCTCTTTTTCTTCTTCCATTGCATTCTTGAATCAAAACAAAACTCTTAATTATGAAATTCAAGTATAAAAGTGTTGCGGACACCAGCATTAAGGACAAAGAAAGCCATAAGCGGCCCTGACCAAGTTCTTGAAAACCCACCACAGGATTTTCAATTGTTTGTACATTGTTTCTCATTCACGTCTGCACCTCTCAGGTGGTGTGGAGGTAAAGAATCCGCCTGCCAATGCCGGCGACACGGGTTTGATCCCTGTCTGGGTCGGGAAGATACCCGGGAGTAGGAAATGGCAACCCGCTCCAGTATTCTTGCCTGGAACATTCCATGGACAGAGGAGCCTGGTGGACTACAGTCCGTGGGGTCTGAAAGAGTCAGACACAACTGAGCGCATGTGCCACGCCAAGTCTCATTCACTTCTGGGTCTTCTTCTAATTAAACTTACTTTTTCCTCAAACGCTAATATTTAGGATAGCAAGATCCCATTTAAAATACTTAATTATAAGTAGTGTAGTCACAATAAAATTCTACCATTTTAAGATGACAACTACATACTGTACTACAGGTAAGTGAGATTCTGGGCCAAGTAGATGCTTGTGGGCTATCCCAAAACATCCTCTCTGTGAAATATTTTCTGAACTGACTTAGACATTCTTTGTGAGTTAGTGATGACTTACACTGGCCACACAACGCACATGAAGTAAACAATGACTGATGACCCTGGAAAGAAGGAAAACGTGTTCTCCGGTGACCAAGAGCTAAAAACACGAATGCTAGCAATGCCAACACGTTCTGAGCATCGACTCAGTACCAAACCTACTGCTCAGTGCTTTCACATGGAGGCTGAAAGAATAAAACAATGGATTTTGTGTTCTTTTGGACCGTATTTAATGCATCAATGGTTTTTCGACAATTCAACACAAAGCTTTCAGACTCCGAATTCTCTAACTGAAACGATCTGAGTTTTTAGTTTCAGAGGGAAGGACTTTCACACTGGGTTAATGTTGAGAATGGTTTTTAAGGAATTCGGGCACTAGAATCTTGGCATGGAGAAACGAGTGGAGTGTCTTTCATCTGATAATCTAGATGTGGGGGCAGCCCTGGCCCAGCCCCAGGGGTGGGCTGGAGGTTTCTTTTGGCCCCAGACTTCTTCATGGTCTGCCCAGCAAATTCTAGGGTTACTTGGGGATCAGGCCTACTTTGTGCTCAAAGACCCTTCTTTCCTTCGGAGGCCTATTTTCTGAAACCTAAGTTGTCAGTGCATCCCCTGGTTCCACACCAGGTTCTGAGTTAGGAGCTGATGCCCGTGGTTTCCGTGCTGGGTCTTCACCACACACAGTGAAACACCCTGTATTTGCTTCCATGCAGAATCAAGAGACAGGCAGCACCCTGAGGTCATCCAGCCAAGCCTCAAACTTTATGCATGAGACTGTCTCACTGACAGTGCAGGTGGCTCCCCAGGTGGCTCAATGGTAAAGAATCCACCTGCTGATGCAGGAGACGTGGGTTTGATCCCTGGGTCAGGAAGATCCCACGCAGAAGGAAACGGCAGACCACTCCAGTATTCTTGCCTGGGAAACTTCTTGGACAGAGGAGCCTGGCGGGCAGCAGTCCACTGGGTTGCAAAAAAGCTGGACACGGTTGGGCATGCACTAATGTCTCACTGACAGTGCACGTGGCTACCAAGAACCGTCTCACCAGCGCCCCTGCATCTCCTATCCACAGCTGTTTCTCAGCCATCCACTTCACTCCTGATGACACGAAGGCTGATCTTATGGGGGCCCTATGCAATAAATCACCAAGTCTGCCTTTCTTCTGTGGTTCTGACTGACACCCCTTGACTTATCCCTCCTATACCCAGAAACAGGACAAATCCTGTAATGAGAGTTTGCAAGGGATGGGTCCCAGTTCCTTCTCTGTACTCGGGTCTGGTTGTTTCAAGCATGCTTCTAAGGCAGAGGCACTATCTGGTTGTTGCAATACAATCTGACTTGCTCAACAACAGCTAGTAAGGAACAGACCGAAAAGAGAGGAAGCACCATTGGTGATGGGTGCCACACCCTCATTTCTCGTATGCTGCTGAGGGTCAGATCTAGTCTTGAGACTTGACCCGATCTGATTCTGGCTGTGGCAGGGCCCATGGTGACCCGTGGCTATCTCAGCTGCAGGCTCTTTCCATGTATCCCTCTCTCTCCTGATGCCATCTGAAATCTGCTGCTCTCTTGAGCACCCTACTTCTCCCTGCAGACACCCAGGGAGTGGGCTGTTTATTCTTTCATGTTCCAAGTGCCTCAGAGGTTGAAGTGATCTCTCTCCTTACTCTCTGTTTATAGGCTGAACTGTGCCCCTCAAATTCACATGTTAAAGTTCTAACCCCCCAGTACTTAAGAATGGGACTGAATTTGGAGATAGGATCTTTAAAGAGGTGAAATGAGGTCATTAGGGTGGGCACTGATCCAGTTCCTTAGAAGGAGGAGGAAATCAGGACAAAGACAGCATAAGAGGAAGACCACGGGAAGACATGGGCAGAAGGCAGCCATGTGTAAGCCGAGGAGAGAGGCCACAGAAAAAGCCCACTCTGCCGGACACCTCGATCGCAGGCTTCTAGAAGAAGAAACTGAGTGTCTGCTGTTCATGACACTCAGCCACTCAGTGGTGCTTTGTGGTGGTGTCTCCTTAAACTAATCCTCCCTCCTCTTCTCTCCCCCTCAGTCACCGGGGCCAGGCCACTAGCTCAGTCCTGCCTACCTGGGAGACTTCCAAATGTGAAAAAGTAGAAGTGTTAGTTGCTCAGTTGTGTCCGACTCTTTGCGACCCCATGGACTGTAGCCCGCCAGGCTTCTCTGTCCACAGAATTCTCCAGGCAAGAATACTGGGAGTGGGTTGCCATTCCCTTCTCCAGGGGATCTTCCCGACCCAGGGATCGAACTCGAGCTGCCTGCATTACAGGCAGATTCCTTACTGTCTGATCCAGCGGGGAGGCCCTTCGGAGGTCACCCGGATTCCTGGTCGGACTCCCTGGCTCCTTACTTCCTTTTCATCTCCAGGGACCTGCTGTCAACACCAGCCACTCCAGACCGTCAAGCCTGAAACCGCGCCATTTCCACAACCACAAATTCAAGCATCCCACCTCCTGAACACACTTTCCACCCATCTGGCTAGTTCAGCTATTACTATACTAAGCATTCTCTGAGCTGATCAGACCACTCAGTCTCTTTGGACCCCTCCCAGCTTCACTTCCTTTCTCTTTTAGCTAAGCCTCGCATGGCCATGACTTTGGATTACAGTCTCTTCACTGCCAACACCATAAATCTGTGTCAATCTTTTTCTCTTAGCAGCCCAGCCAAATGCCAACCTGGAAGGACCCTGTTGATTCCATGCCTTCACCTGGGGAGTTAATTTACACCCCGCGGTTTTCACATCCAACCCCCATACTCAGCGATTCTGCTCTGTTTCTCTGTTCAATTGTCTCTGCTACCTTCCACTACCTAAGCTTTCCAGCCCTCCTTTAACCACCAATACCATTTTCAACAAGGAGAGACAGAAGCTGGTGGAAGAAGCCCCTGAACTCTCCTCCACTGCACCAGGCACTTGGAACAGCCAAATGCTCTCCTCTGCCCACCCTCTGATGTTGCCTATTCCTCCACCTGCCCTCTGAATCCTGGTCCTTCCCACTACCTCGAGAAACATTTTCTTAGTATCCTTTATCTTTAATCTTTTACTTACTACCAGGCACTTCCCATTAGCCTCTTAAGATGCTCAAGTCTCTTCCATGTGAAAAGAAAACTCCCCTTTGGGCCTTCCTGAGTCACCCCTCTATTTCCTCCCTCCCCTAACACAGCCTTCCTTCCTGAAAGGGTACCATCTATTTCTTCACCTCTTCCTCAATCTTTCAGCCTGCTAAACTGGTTTCTGCTTTTACCATCCATGGAAACAGCTCTCCGTAAGTTAACAGCAGCCTCCAAGTTGCCAAATCTGATGGGCATTTTTTCCAAGCTTATTTGACTTGATCGACCGACAGCAGACCGATCTTTGTTTAACACAACTCCAATCAGCCATTCCCTGGCCATCAGTCCTTTAATGACTTCCCATTACTCTTAGGAGAAAGAGCGAAATCCATAACACGGAAGCCCTGCCACTGGCTTATCCTGAGGCCTCACCTCTCCCTGTCCCCGGGCTCTTGTGCTTGATCTTGCCCATGCTGGGGTCTCCGCCTGACAAGGCCCCTCCTGCTCTCACTGGCCTTTCCACCAAGCACCTCCTTCTCCTTGGGCGGTCACATCCATGGGTCATCCCCGCCCTGCCTCCAGCAAGGTCCCCTTATTACATGCTCTGCTCGTCCTTTGTATCCCCTGAGAACAGCCTGGTTATTTGGGGATTGCTGGTTTAGTGCCTTCCTCTCTCCAATAGGGGCTTCCCTGGAGGCTCAGCTGGTAATCCGCCTGCAGTGTGGGAGACCTGGGTTTGATCCCTGGGTTGGGAAGGTCCCCTGGAGAAGGGACTGGCTACCCACTCTAGTATTCTGGCCTGGAGAATTCCATGGATTATAACAGTCCATGAAGTCACAGAGTCAGACACAACTAAACAACTTTCACTTTTCACTTTCCCTTCTATAGACTCTAAACTCCCCAGGGTGGCTATCTGCTCTGCTCCCCACTGCCTCCAGCCCCTGGCCCAGCCCTGTGAATGAATGAATGAATGAACAAACCAACAGATCCCAATCCACACGGGACCAAGTCCACGTGTGACCTCTGGCTTGCACATGGCTTTACATCACAGATGCCGCCATTCTGAGCACCTCCTTTTGTGCAGACACCCCGGGTCTGGTCCACCCGGCCTCTGCCCTCTCATTCCCCACTGTTCCCTCTTTTTGGTGTTAAGAAAACTTCAGCCCAGGGTCCCAATGTGGCTGCCGACTACTTTTATAAATACTGTTTTAGTGGAACACAGCCTCCCTTGTCAGTTTCTGTAATGTCTACAGCTGCTTTCAACTCTAATGGAAGAGCTGAGTTGTTGTGACAGAGACCATACGGCTACAAAGCCTGAATTTTTTTTTTTTTTTTGGGCCTCGAGGCATGTGGGATCTTGGTTCCCTGACCAGGGATCAAACCTGCGTTCCCTGCATTGAAAGGAGCTCAGAGTCTTGAACACTGGATCCACCAGGGAAGTCCCTACAAAGCCTGAAATATGCACTACCTGGGGCTTTAAAGAAAAAGTCTGCCGACCTCTGGGATAAAGCACCGACTGGGACACCTACTGTGTGCTGTGGGGAAAGTCGAGTAAGTGCGTCATGGTGACGAAGGGGTGGTTCAGGGTCTCGATTGGAGTGATTCTCTTATCGGCATCTATGGTCAGCATCTTCTTCAGCAGGTCGATGAACTCCCGCCGGTCCGCCTTCTCCACCAACATGTCACTCCCTTCCAAATCTGTCGTCATGTTCACCTGCAAGCAAGTGGGGACAAGTTACCAAGACCCTGCTGGGCCTCCCTAGCCCCATTCCTCTTATTCTGTGCTCTGCGGCTCCATCCTAATCTCTCAGTCACCCCTTCCCAACCCCCAGAAGGCTGTGTCTGCCCCGTGGGGGGTGCTGCCACAGGTCATCACTGCCTGCAGGTCATGGCTGTTCTCTCTGCAGGAGAGGCCAGGGGAGGCTGCTGAGGGAAGAGAGGCCCCTGTGGGCACCTGCACACATATGAATGTGCGGGTGCAGCTGGCTCCTGCTTTCATCGGTTAGGTTGAAATGCACCTTGCATCATGCCTCATTGAAAAGAACCGTAAGATGAAAAGAATTCTGGAGACTGAGCTTATGACAACGTGAATGTACTGAATGGTATACTTAGAGTTGTACCATTTTCAGTTCAGTTCAATCGCTCAGTCGTGTCTGACTCTTTGCGACCCCATGAACTGCAGCATGCCAGGCTTCCCTGTCCATCACCAATTCCTGGAGTCCACCCAAACCCATGTTCATTGAGTCAGTGATGCCATCCAACCATCTCATCCTCTGTCCTCCTCTTCTCCTCCTGCCCTCAATCTTTCCCAGCATCAGGGTTTAGGCTATACATATTTTCCCATGGTTAAAAAACAATAATTACAACCAAGCAGTAAAAAATAAGATGCAAAAAGGTTTATTTCTTTAACCTTCCAAGAGAGGTATTGGGGCCTGCTTCCCACACCTATAGTGGGTCAGTCTTCTTGCAACTCCTGAGCCAGGGTCTGAGTTATTCGAGTCCCTGGGTTCACTGGGACTGCCTCTGGTGAAGGCAGGCAGGATATCTGAAAACAGATTTTTCTTCCAAGAGCAAGTCTATTTTGTGTGTGTGTGTGCTCAGTTGTTTAGTTATGTCCGACTCTTGTGACCCCATGGACTGTAGCCCACCAGGCTCCTCTGTCCGTGGGATTTCCCAGCAAGAATAGTGGAGCAGGTTTCCATTTCCTTCTCCAGGGGCTTCCTGACCCAGGAATTGAACTTGTGTCTCCTGCATCAGTAGGTAGATTCTTTACCACTGTACTGCCTGGGAAACCGATACTAGGATGACCTTTAAAAGCCTTGTTTTGTGGTGCTTTCTTTTTCTCCCCCCCCAAGACATGCACTGGAAAGCAATTTCAATTTTCTCAGAAAATCAAAGCTTCTCATCAACTGACAAGTATACTTTACTTGGAGTCATGAGTTTTGGTTACGCTTATCTTCAGTAAGAAGTGTCCTAAGTGTTTATTGGTCTGGAGCTGTGTTCCTCATTGCTTTGAAGAAAAACTCACTTTGGGTTGCCCTGATTTTAGACTAGGTTTTTACTCTAAAAATAGCTGACGTTCTAGAATTCTCTCTGGACACAAAGGTGACCTGAGAGAGACTGACTGCAGTGGGTTGTGTTCTCACAAAAGATGGATGTCCTGGTCCCTAGTATCCGGGAAGGGAACCTAATTTGGAAACAGTCTCAGCAGATGTACCCAAGTTAAAGTCACAATGAAGTAGGGTGGGCCATACAGCCAATGACTGGTGTCTTTATAAGAGAAAGAAGGGAGATTTTGGATCCAGGGAAAAGTGGGATCACAGGGATGAAGGCCACATGAAGGAGACAGAGATTGGGGGATACAGATACAATTCAAGGGAAACCGAGGGTTACTGGGGGCCACCAGAAACTAGAACAGCCTGGGCCAGTTTCTTCCTAGAGCTGGTAGAGGGGACATGGCCTGCTGGTACTGTGATCTCAAATTTCCAACCTCCAGTGTCGCAAGAGAATAAACGCTGTTGTCTTAAGTCACCCTTGTTAAGGTGGCACTAGAAAACTCATCATGGTACTCAAATGAACTAACAGGCTTGAATTCTTCTCATGAAGACATCAGTAAGATTGGCTAGTGCTATTTTACAATTGAGAGCCAGTGAACTAAAGCTATTTTTAAAGAGCTGGTGTAAGGTCTTAAAAATGTTCCACAAACCCAGTGGTATACTTCCTAAGGCCGACATATCACTGTTTAAGGTCAAGGTCAGCCACCACAGGTGGATTTCTACCCTCCACCCTCTGTTAATTACTCTGGCAGAAGTGTTGTGCTTGGTTCTGAAAGGGCTAACATTGTATACTCACCCACGGAGCTTACCTGGGCCATGTCATCTAAACAGTTGAAAATGTACTTCCTTGCTTCTTTTGACTTAATCCCCGTCTCTGCTTCATGGTCATCTGGTGTCTGGTCAAGAAAGGCAACAGCCCATTGGTAATGTGAATTATTTCCTAGTCACTGTGACTCAAACCTGTCAACCTCTGCTTCTCCCCCTGAGGATCTTTTCCCACCTTTCAGAGGAGACAGGATTCTTAAAGCGACCTGCCCAGGAATTCCTTCCTCTCTTCCTGCTCCACACTTAGGTCACCCCTCCTCCTTCCTCCCTTCCCATGAACACCTGTTGGGGGGGGTCAGCTCTGAGTTGGGTCTAGGGGATCCCCAAAAGGCACTATATGCCACAACCCCAAGAGAACCACGTTTTCCTCTAAGTTTAAGGGATGCGGTTAGGTTTCATATGTGGAAAAGCAGAAGCCCTTTGTCCGCACATTTTAAAATTTTAATTTATCAAACTCATGCAGACAGAGCTCTTCCTATGTGTCAGGCACTACTTTCTGAAAAAATTATTTATCTATTTAATTATGTATTTATTTTTGGCTGTGTTGGGTCTTCGCTGCATGTGGACTTCCCCCAGTTGTGGCCACTGATTTTCATTGTGGTGGCTTTTCTTATTGTGGAGCATGGGCTCCAGGGCATGCGGGCTTCAGTAGTTGGGGTGCACAGGCTTAGTTACCCCTCTGCATGTGCAGCCTTCCCGCAACAGGGGTCGAACCCGAGTCCCCGGCATTGGCAAGCGGATTCTCAACCACTGGACTGCGAGGGAAGTCCCCAGGTACTGTTCCAAAGCATGTGAACTCATGTAATGCCCTTCACAGCCAACTTAGGGAGGCTGATTACCAGCCCATCTTCCAGAGGGGCAAACGGGGGCAGAGAGCTTGAGGAGCTTGCCAAGGTCCCATGACTGCTGGCTCAGGAGTCTGCTTGGCACTCCCCTCTGTCTGGGTCCAGGGGACACACGTCCGGTTCCTGAACTGGCCTCAGTCTAGGAAGCCGCTGTTTCCAATGACTATGGGGTTTTGGACTCATTCATGGATCACAGGTAACTGATCCTCCAAGACTCAGTCAAGGACAGCACACCTGGAGCTGCTAAGATCCAGGCTTCGACGCGGGAACAGCTGGCCATGAAGGCCTGAGGCTCCTAAGACGCAGAAGTGAACCCCACCCCTGGCCGGCCTCAGCCTCCTCCCGCCAGGACTCTTTTTCACTGGACCTGACCTTGAGCCGCTCACCCTCAACAGCTACCAAATGCCAGCCTCCCATCAAGAGCCTCAGAGGCCTGCTCAGCTGCCAGATCTCTTTTCTAAATCTTTTGCCATCACTGACCATGCATTATCTCTAAATGTATTACAGTTTGGCTGTGGTTTCTGTTAAAAAAATACCCACCCACACTCTTGCAAAAAATAAAGAAACACCTAAAATGAACACAAAACACACTTAAGACATGTATTATTTTCTCCTTCCCGGGGGAAAAAAAACACAACATTAATTTTAATTACTAGGCACAGATCAAAGTGAAAGCAAAATATGTTTCCGTTAAAGTCAAACTGCCCGAGTTTACGGTGTGCAGTGAGGCGCTACACCACCTGCTGGCGGGGCCAGCAGAGCCTCCCGGAGCCTCGGGATGCTGGCTGCTGCCCGCAAAGCTCTGCACCCTTCAGGGCCTGGCTCAGATGCTCCTCCTCGCCCCTCTGCCGTAGCAGGAGCCAAGGCTCCCTCCTCCAGGCCCCCACACTGTTCCTGCCTGGAACAGGGTGCTGGTCATGGGGAGGGGGCAGGGCCTGTCACACAAGTTCAGTCTCCCTCTGCACTGGGAGCTCCTTAAGGGCGGGGGGCCGTTCACTTCTTTCATTTCTCTACCCAGTAGCCAACCAGGCAGGTCGTCCAGGTTTACTGGATGAAATTGAGGGAGTTTAGCAATCAGAGCTTGAGCTGCAAAGGCAGTAGGTCAAGCAAAGTGGTGCTTTCTGAACATTCGAAAATCCATCCACCATGTATCAACCACAGTCGCGCCTCCCCTGTAGCTGAATCAGTCAGAGCCAGGACCCACATGCCTCATTTAAAGGCTCCCCACAAATGGGACCTTCTTCCCCAAAAGCTGGGTGTTGGTGAGGAACGAGGTGTGCGTTCTTCCTACCTTCAGCCTCCACAGAGGATACGGCGAGTCCGTGTCCCGGTTGAAAAACCTAGTTGTCTTTGTCCCTGCGCTTAATAAATATTCTGCTGGCAAACCCTGTGTTTGTGAAATATACCGGATCTGCAAGGAAAGATGGGAATGAGGTCAGGGCTTTTCCTGTCACCATACACGTGGTATACTAACGGCTCTAGCGTCTCGGAGAAAAATGACAATTTTATAGGGAGAGAAAGAAGTAATCAAAGGAAAAGGAAGAAGAACAAAGAAAAGCCAGGCGATCCTCAATTGTAAATTTGGATACTGGTACTTAAGGAGATAACACAGATAAGATGCTTCAATAAAGGTCGTGGCTAAATTTTTTAAAAAAAGCAATAGAAAGGAAGCAAGGTTTGGGAGACAGTATCACACCTCAGAGCCCCACCCCTACGTCAGGTTATGAAAGGGGTGCCCATCCAGACAAAGGGAGAGAGCTGGCTGAGGACACCTGTCCTGTCTGGACCCACCTGATCGTACTCTGAAGCTCCTGGATATAGCGGCCAGCCCAGGAACAGCTCTGCGATGACGCAGCCCAAAGACCACATGTCAATTGCCTCACAAAATGGTAAACCCAGGATGATCTCAGGGGCCCTGAAAAGGAAGAATGGGAAAAAAAAAAGTCATTAGCAATTTGGAAATGCAGGAAGCTATTTCTATATGAATTCTACACACACACACACAAAATCCAGTCTTTCAAACCAAGCTATCGTTAGTGACCCTCTCAAGGTTCTGTTGTTCTTGAGCTGGGTTGCAATGATCCCTGCATCCTTTGGCCTGGTTCTCCCTTCAGCGGGGAGCCTGGTTGGATGACTGGCTGAGATGCATGATTGGTCTGAGGTTGCAGAGAAGACCCAGAGGGAACCACAGCTATTGCTTCATTACCATCATGCTCCAGCCAGATGAGCTAATCAACGCTTTTGAGATACTCAGGAATTATTTTTTGTAGCTGAAAACCCAGGAAACCAACCTTTAGAGAATGCCCAGGGTTTTTTTTTTTTTTTTTTTCCTGAGTGGCCTACAGGATCTTAGTTCCCTGACCAGGGATCAAACCTGCACCCTGAGCATTCAGTGGAAGCTCCGAGTCTTAACCATTGGGTCACCAGGGAAGTCCCAAGGATGCTCAGTTTTTATAAAGGAATTCTGAGCAGAAGTATTCTATTTTCAGTCATATATAAAACAAGTTGCCTCCACCCAGAATGGGATTAAATCCACTATCTGTTTATGCCAACAATCCCTTTTTAGGAGTTTGTATCACACTTTTCCAAGGAAACACTAGTTTTGTTTTTTTATTATCTTCTAAAGAATTCTCTACCATGACAATTATAGTACCTGGTTCATGATCTGTTAATCAGAATTCCATTATAAACCCTTTCCTAACTTTAGAAACGACGTTCCTTCACATGATAAACCTGGTTATCTGCTGGAACTTCTGAAGGAAATCACCTAAACTCAAAGAGAAAATTTCACATGTAGTTGGTAATCAAAACCAAAGACCACAGAGTAGCTCCGCTTTTCTAGGAATTGGTCATGACTGCTAGGTGTACATTTTGGAGAAAACCATGTTCAGAGCATGAGATATGAACTCAGTTTATGACTTTTTTTTTTAAACGTGGCTCAATGCACTCTGCGGATGCACTGGCCCAACTTCTGTTTTCTCTACCAACTGTCCCCTTGATGAAGTGATCCAGGAAGATGAAACTCCACCTTTTTAGCAGCCTGGAGGGGGAGCCCGGGAGCTGGGAGACTTTTCTCTCTCTGGGTTATCTTTGCCCAGCCAGCAGGAGAGGAGGGAGGGAGGGGGTGCCAGGAGCACCTCCACTTGTTGGAGCTTCGAGCTGAATTTTCCCTGCCCACAAAGCATCTCCCTGCCTGCTCCTTTAAATTGGCTCTCATTGCTGTTTTTTTTTTTTCCTCTACATTTGAAAAAACAAATAAGAACCAAAAGGTCTTGCTATCAAGTCTTTTGATTTTTCAGCTGTGAAAAGGAGTCTCTTCCCTTCCTCGGAGCTGGAGAGGCAGCACTACTGTTGGTGCTTCCAGAGCGCCGAGATTGTGGTCTGGGCGGCGAGGCCAAGGTTGGGTCTCCGTGGGCTTGGAAGGCGGGGATTGCTGCAGAGGGCCGGGGAGAGAGCTGTTACTTGAGGGGTCTCCCCTGTCCCCGTCCCCTCGCTGCTGGGTGTCTTCTGCTCCAGTGTTGTGCCTGGCACTTCACCCTGTCTTTGGTCTTTGTCTCCTCCCAGCCTAGTTGCTGACAGTTCGTGTGGACGTGGGGGACGGCTCTTGCCCTCCAGCACGGATGCCCTGGGGAGGCATCACTGCTGGACTTTCCCGGGTCATGGGACCTTCGACCTGGTCTAGGTCACTGTGTCGAGCGGTGCCCCCACACACCAGGGCTTCCAGAGCCACAGATCATTATGTGGAACTGATGAGACTACCGCAGGTTGCTTCCAGCAATGCCACTTCTTCCACGGTGGTTTTGATTTAAAAAAAAAACACACACACATCTTTTTGAAAAGAAGGGAGTATCTCAAAAGAACATGATCGTGAAAACAACTCTTATTACACATGTGGCAGAACCTGCTTTGCTCTGCTCGACAGTCAGATGTGTCCACCTGCCTCCTCTCACGTGCAGGCTCGGGCCTCTCCTCGGGGAGGTACCTGTTCTGGTCCTGAGAAGCCCCTCCTGTGGCAGCTGCTGCTGGCTCAGAATCAGGCATCTTAGCACATCTGTCCCCCATTCTTGTGACCTGTCCCTTTGGCCACTGTAGCCTGGACACTCCAGTCTCCAGGTTGGGTCTTAGGGTCAGGTTGCTCTGGTTCTGTGGGGCCATCTCGGGACTTGACCATGAGGCTGCCCTTCCTATCAGGTTAGTTAACTGGTCCTCATGCCCCAGTACTCTTGTCTGGAGAATTCCAAGGACAGAGGAGCCTGGTGGGCTACAGTCCATGGGATCACAAAGAGTTGGACACCACTGTGTGACTAACTTTCACTAAGGGCATGTACTTTTTCATGCCCTTAAGCAGACCACTGGGAGCTCCTGGAAACCCATTTCCCAGATTCTGTTCCCTGATGATCTGCCCAGCAGAATCCAATAGGTAAGACTGTCATGCAAAGGGCATGCCAGTAATGTTCTTGGGCGAGAAACAGTAGGCTCACGTTTCAGGAACGGGACCTGTGAAAATCATTTAGCTGGGGACTTCCCTGGTGGTCCAGTGGTTTAGATGCCGAGGTCCTAATACAGGGGGCTCAGGTTCGATCCCTGGTTGAGGAAGTAATATCCCATATGCTGCAACTAAGAGTTCTCATGCCTCAACTAAGACCCAGCACAGCCAGATAAGTAGTAAGTAAATATTTTAAAAAATTGTTTAGTCCATCAGAAAACGGAATGACAGCAATTCTTGGTGTCACGATATGTACGGCAGAGGATTTCTTTTGCTGTGATCCTAGTGAGCAAATGCGTGGGCATCAGGCAGGGCAGCTGGGAGACAAAAGAAACAGACGGTGCAGCCCTGTCCCCCATGGGTCGCTGGGGAGGCGACACCAAAGCACAGGTGACAACTGAAGTCAAGCACGAAAACATACACAATACGCGCACAGACACAAACACACACAGACCTAATCCAAGTGCACACTCTCGCTCCAGTGTCTCCCGTCTAAAAACAATAAAACAGAACGCAAGAACAAAACACGCGAAAACCAAACCTCTCCTAATCCCTTCAGCTCCCTGCAGCTGTTGCCCTAGTTCTCTGTTCTCCTTCCAAAGCCAAATCTCTGAAGAGTCATCTCCGGCAGCTTCCACTGCTCTGCCTCTCGCATCTTCCCTCCCTCCTCTCATCATGCTAATCTTCTCTGTATCATTCCAATTTTAGTATATGTGCTGCCGAAGCGAGCACGTGAAAACAACTCTTATTACACATGTGGCAGAACCTGCTTTGCTCTGCTCGACAGTCAGATGTGTCCACCTGCCTCCTCTCACGTGCAGGCTCGGGCCTCTCCTCGGGGAGGTACCTGTTCTGGTCCTGAGAAGCCCCTCCTGTGGCAGCTGCTGCTGGCTCAGAATCAGGCATCTTAGCACATCTGTCCCCCATTCTTGTGACCTGTCCCTTTGGCCACTGTAGCCTGGACACTCCAGTCTCCAGGTTGGGTCTTAGGGTCAGGTTGCTCTGGTTCTGTGGGGCCATCTCGGGACTTGACCATGAGGCTGCCCTTCCTATCAGGTTAGTTAACTGGTCCTCATGCCCCAGTACTCTTGTCTGGAGAATTCCAAGGACAGAGGAGCCTGGTGGGCTACAGTCCATGGGATCACAAAGAGTTGGACACCACTGTGTGACTAACTTTCACTAAGGGCATGTACTTTTTCATGCCCTTAAGCAGACCACTGGGAGCTCCTGGAAACCCATTTCCCAGATTCTGTTCCCTGATGATCTGCCCAGCAGAATCCAATAGGTAAGACTGTCATGCAAAGGGCATGCCAGTAATGTTCTTGGGCGAGAAACAGTAGGCTCACGTTTCAGGAACGGGACCTGTGAAAATCATTTAGCTGGGGACTTCCCTGGTGGTCCAGTGGTTTAGATGCCGAGGTCCTAATACAGGGGGCTCAGGTTCGATCCCTGGTTGAGGAAGTAATATCCCATATGCTGCAACTAAGAGTTCTCATGCCTCAACTAAGACCCAGCACAGCCAGATAAGTAGTAAGTAAATATTTTAAAAAATTGTTTAGTCCATCAGAAAACGGAATGACAGCAATTCTTGGTGTCACGATATGTACGGCAGAGGATTTCTTTTGCTGTGATCCTAGTGAGCAAATGCGTGGGCATCAGGCAGGGCAGCTGGGAGACAAAAGAAACAGACGGTGCAGCCCTGTCCCCCATGGGTCGCTGGGGAGGCGACACCAAAGCACAGGTGACAACTGAAGTCAAGCACGAAAACATACACAATACGCGCACAGACACAAACACACACAGACCTAATCCAAGTGCACACTCTCGCTCCAGTGTCTCCCGTCTAAAAACAATAAAACAGAACGCAAGAACAAAACACGCGAAAACCAAACCTCTCCTAATCCCTTCAGCTCCCTGCAGCTGTTGCCCTAGTTCTCTGTTCTCCTTCCAAAGCCAAATCTCTGAAGAGTCATCTCCGGCAGCTTCCACTGCTCTGCCTCTCGCATCTTCCCTCCCTCCTCTCACTGGACATGCCCCTCCGCTCCACTCAAGCGCGGAGCTTGCGAGGCCAGCAGGGACCACGTTGCATCTACTGGTCAGTTTCTCAGCTCTGGAACCTGACAGTTGTGTTTCTTCCACACAGGTGATCGTTTCGTCTGGTCTTGAAACACATAGTCTTGGTTCGCATGACACTACGTGCTCCTGCATTTGTTCCGCTGTTGGTCACAGTTTGTCCTCCTCTATCCAAGTGCTGCCAACCGCAAAGCCCCAGGACCCCTTCTCTTCTCTCGTTTCATTGTTTTTCTAGGTAATTCTTATGGGGTTGAACCATGTCCCAAAGTCACGCTGAAGTCCTAATCTAGCTCAACATGTGCCCTTCTTTGGGAACGGGGTGACTACAGATGTCACAGTTACGATGATGTCGTCCT